ACCACACCTGGCTCCGGGGAACCCTCAGCTGCGACCACACCTGGCTCCGGGGAACCCTCAGCTGCGACCACACCTGGCTCCGGGAACCCTCAGGTGTGACCACACATGGCTCCGGGAACCCTCAGCTGCAACCAAACCTGGCTCCGGGGAAGAACCCTGAGCTGTCACCACACCTGGCTCCAGGGAACCCTCAGCTGTCACCATACCTGGTTCCGGGGAACTCTCAGGTATGAACACACGTGGCTCTGAGGAACCCTCAGCTGCGACCACACCTGGGCTCTGACTGTGCATTATTCCTATGGATTGTGACCTCCACACACTCCTGGCAGCATCACATGACTGATGGGAAAACACAGGACCGGTGCGTCACTCACACTCCTCTGCACACACCGGTGCAGCAGCCGCTTCTGGTGTTGGCCAACAAATACAAAGAGGAGGAGGACAAGTAAGTTCAAGGTGAAGCTGACATGGGTCTGCAGTCCTCGGGAAAATGGAATCTGGAGACAGAACATGGCACATTTTCCACATCTGTGGCTTCTTTTATTGGTACACACGAACAAGTGCGCGCGTGGTAAAGAGGAAAATAGGCAGAGCTTCTTCTATGCTCACATGGCGCACTCTTCACCTCCCAGAACAGCCACCTCACTGCACCTATGCCAAGACCTGAGTGACACCTGTGAGTGACACCTATGCCCATACCTGAGAGTGATATCCGTGACAATACCTGTGCCCTCAGCTGTGTTAGCTGATGGCCCGTCTCTAGTGACATCTGCCCTGCTCTCCTCTCCATGAGGCTTATCTGGTCACCGTCCACTCACGGTGTCTCTGGCTCCATGTGAGACTGAGACGAGCATGCGGGTCGGGGATGCCACAATATAAGGCTGTGTGGCTGCAGAGTTCGCCTCTACGAAATAACAGTGGGAACAGTGGTAATGCCAATGTACACAGTTCTCATTAAAATGTAAAAAATGTAAGCTGGACACTGGGAGGCTCAGCCTCTGTCAACAGAGTCCTGTGATGATTCTCCTAACTGCTCTAAGGTGTTCCTTAAGCAGGTGAGAAACAGGGTGGGGGTGGGGGCTCAGAAAGAGCCTCAGTGCAGTCATTGCTACCTCATTAAAAGGGTATTCATTCTCCGAGTCCAAAACTACCCACTGCCTAGAACTCTCGGAGGCCAATACCTGAGTGAGTCAACTGGGTGTAACCTGGCATAGCGAGGACATCTGGTACTTCTACTACATAGCTACTAGGCACAAGACGGTTTTTACTGAAGTATACCACATACTCTCACTTTTCCAGAAGACTCTGGTTTCAGGATGTGCAATGACGTCTCACAGAGCAGCAGGCCAGAAGGTCCCTTGTCTGAATCGAGCACAGGCTCTGCTTTGGGGGCTCACCTCTCCAGAAGGGCAAAGAGAATAGGATCTGGCTGCCTTGGGTGAGGCCACATGGGCAGGGCTTTCGGAAGGACAGCAGATAATGCTTAGGTGATAGAGAGGAGCAATCTATTTTTAATCTAATTGTAACCACCCCATCCATTAGGCAGCCGGAACAGTCCTCTAATAGGGATATGAGCCATCTTTAGTTTTTATAGATTTTTATGGGTGCAAATCTCCTCCAAGAGAGAGAGCATTTGTCCCCAGTAAATATTTGCATTTCCCAAACTGTGAATCTGAAGAGGTACCATGTCCGAAGGCTCCAGTCTTAACATTCACTTTGTAAATAAACATCCCAACTCTCAGGGTGATCGGCCTTCCCAGGACGGAGGCTTGGCACCACTACAGATGTGTCTGAAGCTCCCATGGCTGAACAGGCTCGCTCTGGTGCTGTCCTGCAGGTTACCTGCCCTCCCTCCGAGGTGAGCATGATTTAGGTGATGGAATAGAAGTCCTTTTTTATCTCTCCAGACCCCCACACGTTACCTAATCCACAAAGGACAGCAACATAAATGAGATGCTTTCCCATCCACGTTCTCTGAGCTCCCAGTGAAACAACTGTCCCTTCCTGAGAACTGCTTCTCGAGACAGCACTCTGCCCAGCAGAGGCCCCTACCAGGTCAGCAGGATGTGCCCAAGCACTGCGGTCTGCTAAGTCCCACAGGGAGCCTCTTATGGATGAGTGCTTGCTACTAAGTTCCCCACTGACCTCAGTGTTGGCACTTCCAAACTGCAGAACGTCAGCACAGACTGAAGTTCCATCATGGAGCTCTAGCTATCACAAGGGGAGCAGCAAATGCATCACTGACTTCCCCAGCTGTCAAAGTGGTGACAGGAGATGCTTTACAAATATGCAGAGATTAGAGACCCCAACTGTTTAACTTTCAGCTCTCACTAAAAGGGGAGGGGTAGGAAGAGAGACTATGTGCTGGGCAATTCGAATTGGTCTCACCTCTGATGCATCCAGCAAGCCCATGAGGTACATATCCATCACTGCTCAGACAAAGAAACTCATGCCTAAGAGTTTACTACTGCTCCAAATCTTAACACTGCCAGGAACTAGCTAAGCCTGCCTCGAGCTCCAACGCCTACCATGGTATGTGGCAACCCTGGTATCTAACAGACAGAGTAAATCCTGGACAAGCCAGGGCACCCGGGGCATCAAGAGGTCGATCATGGTCAAGGGGCCTAACTCTTTTCCAAAGCACACCAGACAGGAGGCTCAGAGGAGGTAGAAAAAAGAGCCTCTACCCCCAAACCCCAAGTATCCCAGGGCAGGAATTGATAAAAGCTCCCAAACATGGAGAGAGGGCAGGACCCCAGTCCCTGAAGTATTCCTGCCAGGGGCTGCCGAGAACAGTATTCACTCCCTGGTCTGCAGCCGAGACAGCTACCATCCGGGGTCCCAAACAAACCATCCAGAACAAACCCTCCCTTCTTGTGCACAACAGGCACCATCTTGAAAGCCTGAAAATGTTGGGGGTGCCTCACACACATGCCTGCTGCTGGGTTGCCACCACAGAGTCCCTCTCAGCTTGCCCTCACCAGGGGACAGATCAAATGTGGTTGGACACAGTTCCTGTCTCCGGCTTCTCAATATCCACATGGCAATCTATAGAGCTAAACGTCCATCAGTGGATGGGGTTGCTGACCATGTACAGAGTACAGAGCAGAGGTCCTGACTTCACAGAGTGGTTCTCACTGGGCTTCTGAAGTTTCTTTTTACCTTGAGACCCCAGAGCTCCTGTGTGGGAGGCACCGCCAAGGTCAGTGGCTTTGCTGAGGCTCTGTGCACAGCCAGCCCCATTCAAACACAGGCTCTTCTCAAAAGCATTTGTATAAAAGCTAAGGCTGATTTAATTATTTTTGGCAGAAACACCATGAGATAAAAATCAAGGCGTTTGATTGCTTTGTGTTTCCTGGTTACCCAATTCTCCTGAGCACTAGTGCTCTTTAAATCCCATGCAGAGCTCAAAAGTACAGAGCCATAAGCATACGGGAAACACTGGGGCTAGCACCAAATATAATTTCATCATTTTCTTTGTGCTAAATAATTAACTCTCGGTCATCAAGTGGCTCGGTCCTTCCCTCTATCCCCAGACCATAGGCCCGCTAGGTGAGGAGAGGCACTCAGCTCCTTCCCGGCACTCGCTTCATCTGTGCACAGACACGCTCCCTTGGAGGAAGGGTGGGGACGTGGGAAGCAGTTCTGAAACTACTTCACTGTACCAGGACGTGTGCTCATGGTCTCGAAGTCTGAGTTCTCACAGCAGAAGACAGCAGTACAAGTGTGGAAAGAAATGCTGGCAACCATCTCCCCACCTCTGGGAATGGACTGGAACTCAAAGTATCTGTTTAAATCCACGTGTTCTAAAACAGCATGTGTGCAGGAATGTGTGCAGCGTGTCCATGTGTATCTTTGTACGTGCAGTGAGTATACATATGCACAGGGTATCTGTGTGTGAGCAGATGGATATATTCCCTAGCTCCGTCTGACCAGCTGCAGGCCTGCCCAGTGCCCAGAACTTGGTCTCTTAATACTATTACCCTCAGAAGAAAACAGGGCTCCTTGGAGAAATGGCCAACTGGCGCTGGGGCAGGAACGTCCAAGATGAGCCTAGGAACACAGCGTACTACCGGAAGGTAAGAAAAGTTTCGAGAAAATGACAGGGTCGGTCAAGACACAGGACCTAACTTAAAGAGTTCTCATTGGCCAAATTTGTCCAATTTGAGCATGGAGAAAACGAAAGAGTAAATAATTATAAACTATTGAAAATTAAGGATCTGTGAATCTATTCCAACAGTAAACAGATATAAATAATATTAAAATAAATAAAACACAATAACAAGGACCAAAAGAATGAATGAGTAAATTCATAAATAAACAAATGGGGCAATTCTGGTTTATGGCAAAATACTGACTGTTGGTGGTGACAGTGAAAAAGGGCTCAGTGGGACATCACCTCTGGCAGATGGCAGCACAGACTAAGATAATGGAACCCACTAATGGAGGCTCGGGGCACAGTGCAGGGGAGGGGCTCTGCAGAAACCCCTTGGCCCAATTGCTGTAATGCAGGAAACATGACCACACGCCAGGTACGTGCCAGGAGCACCACCCGAACAGGACTCTGGGAAGGCCATGTCTCCACATCCTAGTCTAACTGGTGTAAATAACAGAAAAAAAAACAGCAAAAGTTAAAGTCTTAAAGACCAACCAGCAGAAAGGGCACTTCTCAGTGAGGGGAGGAACGATACACGACTAATTGCAGCATCAAGCCCAGACAGGGGACCTGCTGGAAGAAAGCGCTACGAGGACAGTGGAGTCAGCGGACAGAAACCTCTAGAAAGCTGAGACTGAGAACACTCCTTGTCTTAGAAGAGGCACAGGACAGCGTTTACGGCTGGGGTATATCAGAGTAAG